CGATTTTATTGACCCTTTCGAAAAACAAGCTCCTAGTCTTATTGATGGTTTCAGTTGTTTTTCTGTATTCTATATCATTGATTTCAGCTTGTGTCCTTATAATTTCTTTTCTTCTAGAGGTTATAGGATTAAAATGTTGTTTTTTTTCTATTTGATGAAAGTGTTGAGTTAGGTCATAGATTTTTCTTCTTTCTTCCTTTTTTATGTGTGTACCTATTGCTATAAACTATACCCTGAGGACTGCCTTTACTGTATCCCAGAGGTTTGGTGTGTTGTATTTTCATTTGTTTCAAGGAACTTTTCCCTCTTGTTCTTTATTTTTTTTAGAACCCAGTCATGTTCTAGCAGAGAGTTATTTTGTTTCCACATGGGTGGTTTTGTAAGCTTTACCTTCCTGTGGTTAATTTCTAGTTTTGCAGCATTGTGGTCTGAGAAGATAATTTGTATTATTTCAGTGTGGTTGGTGGTGTTTTTTTGTTTTTTGTTTGTTTGTTTTTTTGTAGTTGTTGTTTTTAATTTGTTGGGGCTTGCTTTGTGTCCTAGATTCAACAGATTCTGGATAATGTACCATGTGCACTTGAGAAAAAGGTAATTGAGTTTTAGTTGGGTGCAGTACCCTGAATACATCCACAACATGGAGTTGGCTGATTGTATAGTTTAGATCTTCTGCATCTTTGAGTTTCTCTTGAGTTGACCTAATCCTTTGGTGATAGTGTTGTGTTGAAATCTCCTACCACTATTGTGATTCTGTGTATTTCTTCAATTCTGTTATTTTATGTATTTTACAAGTCTATCACTTGGTGCATAAATGTGAGTTAAGGTTATGCCTTCTTAATCTATTGTGCCTTAATCAGTATGTAATGCCCTTCCTTATCTTTTATGGTGATTTTCATGCTAAAGTCTGTTTTATCAGAGATTACTATTAATACTCCAGCTTTTTTAGTGGTTTCCATTTGCTTGATATATTTTTCCCTAGCCTTTCATTTTTAGTCTTTCTCTTCTTTTTATAGATGTGTCTCTTGTAGGCAACATATTGAGGGGCTTTAGGTTGTTATTATTATTATTTTTTTCAATCTATTCTGCTACTCTTTTTCTTTTGATTGGTGCATTTAGTCCATTCACATTAAGTGTGATTATTGTCAGGCCAGGTTTTACCATTGGCCATTTTGCTGTGTTTCTTTTTCTGTTGTTTCTGGTTACTATGATCCATCCACTTTCCTTTGGTGTCTCCATGTGAAAGACTGGACTTAAAATTTCTTGGTTTTGGTCTTATTTCCATAAATTCCTTAAGTTCCTTCTTTCCTGCAAAGGATCTAATTTCTCTTTCCTATTTGATGAAGAGCTTTGCTAGGTATAGGATTGGCTGGCAATTGTTTTCTTTGAACTTTCTGAATACGCTATCCCATTGTCTTCTTGCTCACTTGGTTTCTGCTGAGAAGTCAGAACTTAATCTAATTGTTTCCCCTTTGTACATAACTCTTTGTTTTTCTCATACTGCTTTTAATCCTTATCTTTTAATTTGGAGAGTTTGACTATGGTACATCTTGATGTTTTTCTATTGGGTCTATTCTATTTGATATTTACCTTGCTTCTTGAATGTGAATTTCCCCATTCTTTAAAATACCTGGGAAGTTTTCTTCTAGTACTACTTCCACAATCTTCTCAGTGACTTTCCTGTTCTGGAAACATTCCATGTTCTGGAATGTCAATCATTACTTATGTTGTTTCTTTTGATGTCCTCCCACATGATTCTAATGTTTACTTCATTTTCTTTACATTTTAGCTCTGATTTTTCTTCTAGTATATTTACAGTGAGACTCTTAACTTTCAACTCACTAATTGTCCCATCTCTTTGGTGCTACTTTTTTGTCCTACTAGCATGTTAGACACTTCTGACATTTGGATCTTAATATTCTGGATTGAATTTTCATGCTTTTTTTTGTTATTTACAGTACTGTGTTGGCTGTACCCTCTCTGTCTTGTGATAATTCTTTAAGTTCTTTTACCTCTTTATACTATCAATTCTTTCTTCCATCTTTTGCATTTTCTTCCATAGCTGTTCAAGTTGCTCCTCATCAATATATTTCTTCTGGATTGTTGTCTCTGAGGTATTTGCGCTCTTAATGACTTCCAGTTTTCCTTGCATCATTTACATCTTCTTCTGTAGCTTTTCAAATAACTCCACAGCAAAATATTTCTTATAGTTCTCTCTACCAGGAGTATTCATTTGGTCTGCTTTTTTAGGAGAAGGGTTATTTTGTTTTTCATGATGGCTGAGGCTGATTGCTGCTTTTTTGGCATTATGTTAGTCTTTTCTTAGTAAATGTTAGGTTTTTGTAACAATATGTAATATATAATGACCCAGAGCATGGCAATGTTTTATGAAGGACCTATATATCTATGCTTCCTTCTTGGCCTGAGGCCCACTGTGTCAAGGGCCTGACAGCAGTGTTTCACCCAATACCTGAATGGCAGAACAGGAAATCTGTTCCCTTCCAGAAACCATGTCTCAGTTGGGCTTGACCTGGTCCCATATAGTGCAGCTAGACAGCAGTGTTTCACCCAAAGTACCTGAATGGCAAAACAGGAAGTCTGTTTCCTTCTAGAAATCACATCTCAGCCCAGGTTTACTTGGTCTGGCTTCTTCTTGAGCTTAAAGGGTCCCACGTAGTATAGGTTGATAGCAATATTTCACCCAAATACCTGTGGTATTGGTGCTCCTGCTGTTGAACAGCAAGGGTGGCAGCTGGTCAGTTTCCAGGTGGCCGGGTAGTGGTCTAGTGCTCTGGGTAGGACTGTGGTCTAAAACTGCAAGCCCCTCAACCTGGCAGGCAGTGGTTCTGTTGCTGGCCAGGGTGTGAGTGTGCCTGGGCTGTGCCACAGCCTTTAGCAGACACAGGGGCAATGATGACTGGAAAGCACTCTGGGCAGGCCACACCACATAGACTTTGGCATCTTGCCGCAGAGTGAAGGTAGAGTTCCACCAACAAGGGGTCTTTTGAGAGGCCTTTTGTCCTTTCTAACATGTGCATGCCGTCACATAACCACCATAACAATTAAGATAGCCATGCTTGCATCACCCCAAAACCCCTCCTGTGCTCGGTGTGTGTCGTCCCTTTTCCACTCCCAGCTTCAGGAAGCCCTGAGCCCTCCTTTGCTATATTTTTTCTCTTTTTTTTAGGATACCCTACAAATTGAACTGTATCTTTTGTGGCCTTTAGATACTGGCTTCTTTCAGCAATGCATTTATTTTAAATTTTAGTATGGTGAAATATATGTAACACAAAATTTGCCATTATAACCTTTTTTTTAAAATGTACAACTCTGTGAATTACATTCACCCGTGCTTTGTTGCCATCAAAAACTCAAACTAGTTGCGATAGAATTGGAACTGACTCGTAACTTCTCCTTCATTGGGTTTCTGGGCCTGTTAATTACACTGGAGGAACATGTCAGTCTTTCTCGCTTGGCTGCCTATAGATTCAAGGCCCCAGTACTGAGTTAGCACTGCGTCTGCTTGCACATTCACTGCCAGGGGTCCCTCTGTTACCATCACCAGTGTCTATTTCCAAGTTTCCTATCATCCCAAACAGAAGCACAACACCCATCCAGCAGTACCTCCCATTCCTTCTTACTCTAGACACTCACAATCTTCTTGTCTCTGTAATTGCCAATAGGTATTTCATGAGTAGATTCATACAATATAAGTCCATGTGTATCTGATTAAGCATGATGTTTTCAATGTTCATTAAAATTGTAAGAAGTACTGGGATTTCATTTTCCTTTATGACTGGGTACTATTTTATGGATATACCACCTTTTGTTTATGGATTTATCCCTTGAGTTGCTCTCATCCTTGGCTGTTGTCAGCATGATTTTGAGCTTAGTCTTTCTTGTTGTATGTGTTAGTAGATCATGGGACCCTTAATTTTATTCCATTTTTTTTTCTCCCTGAGAGTCTGGTAGGCCTTGGGTTCTCAGAGTGGACTCTGGGTGATGATGTCTATGCAGGAGAGTATCTGGGGTCCTGGTGCTAGATCTGTCCCCACCACCTTTCTCTTTGAAGTTTCTCTTCCTCTGTACTTAGCTTGACTCTTTGTTTACCAGATACTTTCTGCAGTATTTTAGAAGTCAAGTTATGAGGGCGAGGTGAATGGGCTGGTGAATTTCCTCTAAGAAATCATGATGCCTCCCAGATATGAGGCTGGTGACTTTAGTTGAACGCAGAGATTCAGAGAAACCTGCCTGTGGACAAATGGTGACAGAAAAATTCTGGCTACTGGCTGCTGGCTGCTGGCCTGACATGAAGCAGCATTTGACCTGGTTTTTGCTTTTCTGAGCGAGTGTCAGCTCAGTGCTAGTGGCAGGTTACAAGAACCAGAAGTTAGAAGCAACATAGATATTCATGGACTAAAGCATAATGAATGACATTTATATATGACTGACTTCTAAGTAATCATTTCTAATGATAAAGCATTCTGAAATATATTGGTTTCCCATTTCTGGAAACCTGCCAGGGGCAAGGACACCTCAACTTTTGCGACCTTTGGAATTGCTCATTTCTTTAAGAAACAAGCTAGAAGAACATTCTGGTGCACTTAAGGGTTGGGAGATCAAGAAGTAGATTTAAAAGCAGAACCCACGGATGTGTGGAAATGAATCAAGAAGCAGATTCCTAAAGGCTGGAAAGTCTTGTAGCACATTTTGTGGCTGGATTCTCAGGCAGAGATTGTGTTCACATCTTCTCCCTGCTCCTTGTTCACCTTTGTGTTCTAGTGTTTGGGCTAAACGTGTCTGCTGCACTCAACTCTGATCTAAAAGGCTGGTAATTCCTCTCCATAATTACAGCCAGGAAGGTCCTGTGACTCATGGACTGTGATGACTCAGAGTCTGCTCCATAGCAAGGAGCTTGGTTGTTTGTCTATTAAGCCATGGTTCTGTTTTGGTAGATGAGGGGTGCCTTGGCGACCTGTTCAATTTCTTGTCCTCCTTTTCCCCAGACCAGCTAAAGGCCTTGCAGAAGAATTATGCTAAGCTGCAGCAGGATATTCTCCAGTTTCAGAAGAACCAGACCAACCTGGAAAGGAAGTTCTCCTATGACCTGTAAGTGAAACTCAGAATCTGGGCCAGAGTGTTAGAACCTGAGATCCCAAGGCAGAGTTCAACATGGTGTCCACGCTCCTTTCCGATTATAAATCATGAAATATCTGGTGTATGCAGGGCCTGTGAGAACAGTGCATCTCCTCCTAGGAGTCATCACCTTTAGAAAAAATAAATTTTCCTTTATAAGTCTCAGCAGTACTCCAGGAAGCCAGAGAAGTATTAACCTGTGGACCTATAATACAGAGTAAACAAGAAAGGTATATGTGGCAGTTATGAACAGGAAGTCACTTATCTATCAACAGACCTTACTTAAAACTATTGTAAATTCTTTTTGTAATGTGCAGTTATATATACAAGTCAATAATGAAAAACTTTTATAAGTGTGTTCTTAAAGGGCTCAGAGGTTAGTTCAGTTACACTCAGTGACCTTGGCAAAGTATCAGTACAATTTAGTACCATGAGTGTTTTATCTTGTGAAATGTCCTATGATTAATTTCCTAGTTATTTTTTTTCTGTTTTTTTTTTTTTTTTAAATTTCCTAGTTATTTTTATAAGCAAAGCAAACCAATAAACACTTAGGAATTGAACTAAGCCCATTAGTGCAGTTTTCTGTTTTTCTTCTCATAAAACCAAAATAACTAAGCCTGGGACATTCAGGGAGAATGTGAGCCCAGCCTCATACCACTGCTCTTTACCCTGACCCTTTGTCCTTGCTTTGGTCCATGTCCAGATACATGCTTACTTTAGACATATTTGCAGAAGCCATAGGAAAAAAATTTAAGTTCTAGTCTTATATATTAAAAATTCCAATGTATTCCAGAATGTTTTATCATTAGAATTGGCTGTTTAGGTGGGACCCGTGCCTCTCGTAGGGGACTGGCTCATTGGGGGGCCTTGTCTCCTCTCTACTGCAAGAACCAAAGCTCGTATGGCAAGGCTGGCCCAGGAGCATTTTCCAGCCACCGAAGCCCTGTGTCTACTAAAGGCTGTGGCCCAGCCAGACACACTCACACCCTGGCCAGCAACAGGACCACTGCGTGCCAGGTTGAGAGGCTGTAGTTTTAGAGCACAGTACCACCCAGAGTGCTAGACCACTGCTACACCATCTGGAGACCCCACTGCCCCACTGCATGGAGACTGCCCAGCTGCTGCCCCTGCTGTCCAGCATCAGGAGCACCAATATACCATCAAGGTGCCATCAAGTTGAGTACAGCTCATAGTGACCCTGTGAACAGCTGATGTGAACTTTGCCTTATAATGTACCATCTTCATAATCTCCACCACACATGAGCCCATTGCTGAAGTCACTGTGTCAGGCTATCTCATTGAGAGTCTTCCTCTCCTTTACTGACTCTCCATCTTTCCAAGCATGATTGAAAAGACCATGGCTTGCATCAAGGTCAAAACTGCATATTCCAACTACAGGGTACCAGTGGGATAGCTGAGAGCCCAAGGTTCCCATATGGCTACTGCAACTATCCTAACTGCACATGGACCATCACTGCAGAGGACTAGCATAGGATCCAGCTGGTATTCCAGTCCTTTACCCTAGAAGAGGACTTTGAGGTCATAATGGTGTTTGCTGGCCTGCCACAGCCAGAGAACCTGCGAACAAGAGGAAGACGAAAGACGGCCGACCTGAGTGTCTCAAGGAGCATGCTCTCACAGCCTGCTTTCAGACAACCTTGGATTGCGTCCTTGTTCTACTGCCTTGATTATCTTTTTAGCCTTGAGTGAGTCTTTTCACCACTCTGGAAGCCCCTTTTCCATTTGTGGAAGAGGAAAGTAATAATACCTACTTTGAGTTACAATTAAATCACTTGGCTGAGAGAAAAATGGGCAGTGATGATGGCACTAGATCCAGAAGTGCTGTCCCCAGTAGGGTGTAAGGTCCAGGCTTCAGAAGAGATTTGTGGGGTGTGGGGAGGGCCATCCAGCTCTGGGGAGAGCTACCCAGGCACTGGGGAGATCCACATGGCAGGGGAGAGCCTCCTGGACCCTGGGGAGTGCTACCTGGCCTCTGGGGAGATCCACTTGGCTGGGGAGAGCTGCTTGGGCCCTGGGTAGACCCTCCTAGCCGCTGAAGATTGCTGCCTAGCCCCTGGGCCCTGGGGAAAGCCACCTGTTAGAGGAGAGCCCTCAGCCCCTGAGGGAGAGTAGTTTGGTAGGTATGAGCAACTTTGTCTTAGCCACCTTCCTCCTTCTACTCCTCTAGTACAAGTAGCTTCCACATCCTTTCCTTTTTTTTTTTAACTCCCAAATTTGTTCTCTCTAGGTTTTCTCCCTTTACTGTAGGTAACCTGAACACTGAGTCTTGTTCCAGAACCTGAACCCCAAGCCTGGTTTCAGAGACAAAAAGGAAATGTAACTTCAAGCTAAAGAAGTGATGGAGGAAATGTAACTTCCAGCTAAAGTGGATGGAGCCTCAAAGTTCAGCCAGCCACTCCCACTGGACTTACTCACGCAAACACCTTGCAGTCCAGAGGGCAGAAAACGTCATGAAAATATCTTCTGAATAAGAAAGCATATAGCTTCAAATCAAGACCACCAGTAAAGTGTTAAAGTGGGCTCCCCTTGCCCTTCATCTCAGCGCCCCTGTTTAGCATGAAGCACCCACAGGTTCTGCAACCCTATTCCCAAATGGGAAACCCACAAATGAAAAATACAGTCTTTTTTATAAAAAAAAACACACTAATCACCACTGGGCTATGCCCACTATTACCATGTCTTTCCTGATCCTGCTGGATTTTTCTCATTTCCTTTACCCACTCCATCCACCCACCAAATTGTGCAACCCTGTGATTTCATCCCAACCGATCTTCATCCTTCTGCTCCCACCCCTTACTGCCTTGGATCCCCATACATGTTTTTACAATAAAAATTAAAAAAAAAAGAAGAAGAAAGAAAGAAATAACTGCTTAAAAGTTTGTCATATGTAACTACCAAATTTAATTAATGAAACTCTACTCCTTATATATTTAAGCTGCTTCTAAATTCTGGTTCTTATAACTTGTCTGGCCCTAATGATATGTAACTTATCACACACAAGTAAAATCTCATTGAAGATTGTGGGGGGAAAAAACCCAAAAAAACAAACAACCCACCTGGAGCAGTACATTAATAGGAAACCCCCAGAAGTTCAAGCTGAATTCAGAAGAGGCTGTGGAACAAGGGATATCACTGTTGATATCAGATGGATCTTGACTGAAAATAGAGAATAGTAGAAAGATGTTTGCTTGTGTTTTATTGATATGCAAAGACATTTGCCTGAATGGAGCATAATAAATTATAGATAACATTGAGAAGAATGGGGATCTCAGAACCCTTGATATATCTGTGGAACTTGTGCGTGAAACAAGGTGGACTCATTCAAATAGAGCAAGGAGCTACTACTGCATGGTTTAGCATCAGGAAAGGTGTGTGTCAGGGAATGTCCTTTCACCTTGCCTGTTCATCTGTGTGCCAAGCTAATAATTTGAAAAGCTGGACTATATGAGGTAGAATGTGGTATCTGAACTGGAGGAAGAATGATAAATCACCTCTGTGATGCAGGTCATAGTACTTTGGTTGCTAAGAGTGAAGAGGACTTGAAGTATTTACTGAAGAACATCATAGACTACAGATTTCAGTGAAGATTATACCATAACATCAAGAAAACAAAAATCCTCACCACTGGACTGATCATGATGGATTGAGAAAGGATTGAAGTTGTCAGTGATTTTATCTTACTTGGACTTATAGGAGATAGCTGTGGAAGCAGCAGTTAAAGAAATCAAATGCTATATGGTGCCACTGTTGTAGAATGAGGCTGGCATTGGGGTGGGGGTAAGACTGAGAAAAACTGGATGAAATATGTTTACGGCATTGAAGTC